CCTCATGGAGTAATCAAGTAAAATGGCGTCTGGATGACCCGGAAGTGGAAATCATTCTGATGCTGACCTCAAGCGATATGAGTCAGGTAAGGGGTGTCCCTTATATAGGGGAGTGAATTAATTTAAGCCCCTCCCACAAATACAGGCCAAACGGCCTTACTACATATGTCAGTGTGTTCTTCTGTGTCTGTGTGCGCGCACACATCTGTGTGTCAGGGTGTGTGTTTTTATGTCAGTGTGTATCTGTGTCATGGTGTGGGCATGTATCAATGTTTGTGTGTGTCAGGGTGCATGTGTGCATATGTCAGTGTGTGTGTGTGTCAGTGTGTATCTATATGTGTGAATGTGTCTTGTCTATATGAATTTGTGTGTAGTTGTCAATGTATTTATATGCATCTGTGTGTTCATGTGCATGAATATCTCTGTAAGTATGTATGTGTATACATCCAAGCAAACACCAGCACAACATACAAACACAATCCTGCAACCTAAAACAAATATTACATACAAACACTCCCCTTCACTCAAACATAAATACGTCACGCAAAGGTACATCCACATTTAAGATTAAACATTACATTTAGACACACCCCTGCAATTAAAATGCAAACATCACATATAAACACACCCCTGTATTAAAACACAATAAATGTATACAAGCACACCTTCAAATACCAACACTGTACATTACACTATAGCGCCAGTAAATGCGGCAGCACAGTACAGATACGCAACCTGGACATTTTGACTTGGTGTGCCTTGGAAAAATACTAAAATATTAAGAGCCCCTTGAACCTAAAAAGTTTGGAAACCACTGGTCTAGGTAACAATTCTGCTGGCTGTTATACTTTTCCAACTCTTTACAGGAGATGTTATACAATGTGTGTTAATATACACTGAATATAATTTCAAAAATTCTGAATAACTAAATGAAAAAGTTCTTTAAAATGGCTCTGTCATTTTCTATGGTCACAGTTTTTGCAAAGGCCCTCGATGGTGACATTGCTACTTTATGTGCAGTGATCGCAGGGGTGCAAGGGAAGGTATGTTTTACTTACCTAAAGCTATCCCTCACAGCCGCTGCCACCAGCATCTAGTGAATCCTCTTCAGTTCATGGAACTTCATCTGCGTCAGTGCTGTATTATTGCGCGTGCACAAAAATACATCATTGAGATCTATGGACAACTGGAGCCTGTATTGACAACCTGTGAGACAACTGGAGCCTTCATAGACATTGCTTTTTTTCTAACAACTGCTAAAATCCCAAGTCTCCCTGACACTGACAAATCATATACGATATCCCGGATTTGCTGGTTGCTGGTGAAGCCACCTCCCTGACTAGTTTTTGCAATCTGGGATGTTTGCAACTGTCACTAGTGACAGCTGGGGGAAATGACAAAACTTAACAAAGGTATCTCGTCATGTTGTTATGTTTTGTCAGGCATGATCATATATGCCTGATATTTTACGAGAAATAGAATAGAAAAGAAAAAAAGATCAGAATGAGAGACAGGAGGAAAAGAAGAATCGATTGATGTAAGGTTGCTATGCCAGACAAGGTCGCTTTAATCAATCACCAATTTTGCCAGATCTGTTCTTTTCTATAACCCTGAAAACACCCTTATTTACTTTACACTTACAACTGATTTCAAACTTTTAAACCACAAGAGCAGAAAGGGGAAAAATATGTGTTTATAATAGCACCATTCTATTGGGCCTCAAATTTTAAACGTTTACTTGCGTTTATCCATTTGAGAATCTGAGGCACAGAATATATAATGAGAGACAAAACAGACTATAGAAGGCAGAAGATGGAAACTAAAGGGATACAGAAACATAGAATGTACATTTCAAAGTAATTAACATAAAAAGTGACTATGGCTCAGAATAGTGGGAGACAAATGATATTAGGAACCTAGGACAAAATATGAGAATATAATATTCTTCTTGACTGACATAAAATACAGATGGATTCAAAACGGACTCATTTTATACAGATAATAACAACCCACTGTTTGTTCACACCTGTGCCAGTGATGCTTAAAAGTGATGTCATAAAAAGTGAAGTCATAAAGTTAACTGCTGCAAAATCTTTTTGAATATTCTATTTACTTCCAGACACATCTAAGGCTCTGGCACAGCTGCAGGGCCGGCGCGTCCATAAGGCGGCACAGGCGGCCGCCTTAGGGCGTACCGGTTTCGGGGGCGCAATATTTCAGTGACCGGCAGGAGGGAAGCACTCCCTCCTGCCAGGCCACCATCTCGACCCCCGGCGCGGCGTGCGGCAGTGCTGTGATCAGACGCGGCGAAGGAGATCTAATCTCCAAGCTCTGCTCCCTCGCGCGCTGTCTGCTGATGCCGCGGGAGCCGGAATATGACGTCATATTCCGTCTCCCGCGGTATCAGAAGGCAGCCGCGAGGGAGCAGAGCAGAGAGGTTAGAGCTCCCTCGCCGCGTCTGATCACAGCACTGCCGCACGCCTCCCAGCAGCCCCACTGGACCCCAGGGAATGATTCATCATCCACACCAGCTCTCCAGGTAGGGAGGCTGGGTGGAAAATGTTTATTTATTAAAATAATTAGTGAGTGTGTGTATGCGTGTCTGTTTGTCTGTGAGTGACTGTCTGTGATTGAGTGTGTGTCTGTCTGTGTGTGAGTGTCTGTGTGTGACTGTATGTGTGTCTGTGAGTGACTGTCTGTGATTGAGTGTGTGTCTGTGTGTATGTGTCTGTGTGTGAGTGTATGTGTGCCTGAGTGACTGTGTGTCTGTGAGTGACTGTCTGTGATTGAGTGTGTGTCTGTGTGTGACTGTGTGTGTGTGTGTCTGTGTGTGAGTGTATGTGTGCCTGAGTGACTGTGTGCCTGTGAGTGACTGTGTGCATGAGTATGTGTGTCTGTGAGTGAGTGTGTCTGTGAGTGTATGTGTGTGTCTGTGAGTGATTGTATGAGTGTGTGTGTGAGTGTATGTGTGCCTGAGTGACTGTGTGCCTGTGAGTGACTGTGTGCATGAGTATGTGTGTCTGTGAGTGAGTGTGTCTGTGAGTGTATGTGTGTGTCTGTGAGTGATTGTATGAGTGTGTGTGTGTCTGAGTGCTTGTATGAGTACTGCATGTGAGTGTGGCAGTGTATGTGTGTCTGTCAGTGTGTGTTTGTGAGTGTCTGTCAAATCAGTGAGAGTTTCTTTGTCATTGAGTCTGTGTGTGAGTATCAGTGTGTCTGTCAATGAATGAGTGCAATAAGTGTGTGTCAGATCAGTGAGTCTGTGTGTTTTGTCATTGAGTGTGTGTGACTGTCAGTGTGTATACACCACTGAGTGTAGCGTGGCAGAGCGCAGTACAGGAGCTTCTGTTTCCTGTTCCTGGGCCAGACTGACCGGAGGTGCTCCCTGTCAGTCTGTCCAGGTACAAAAAATTGAAGCTCCTGTAGGGGATATCCTCCACTCGGCAACGCTACAAGAGAGGTAGGAGGCACACCAGGAAGGGGAGTGCGACCACTAAAGGGGTGGGGGGTGCACCAAGGGACAGGGAGGGGAGAGAAACACCAAGGGACAGGAAAAAGAGGGGAGAGCTTAGAAGAACACTAAGGGACAGGGAAGGGAGGGGACCACTAATGGACGGGGAGAGGGGCTGGTTAAGAGGCACATAGGTGAAGATGTTATTTTGGGGGGGGGGTGGAAAGATACATCTTCGCCTATGTACCCAAAAATCTTTGCACCGGCCCTGATTACTCCCCAGACTAATTTATATGCTACCCAATTTATTGATACCAATCCAGATAGCTATGCAGTCAGGGAGGAGCGTGCTTGGCATCCCACAGATGTCGCTGAACTTAAAAAATTCTGGGCTCTTGCAATTCTCATGGGGATTATAAAGAACCCATCAATTTGCTCTTACTGGAGCACCAACCCAATCTGTTCTAGTCCAGTGTACTCCCAAACCATGTCTAGAACAAGATTTGAGCTGCTGCTCAGATGCTTACATTTCATTGACAATACCCTCTGTCACACCAGAGATCACACCCGATATGATAGGCTTCATAAAATACGCCTACTGGTAGACCATCTTCAGCACAAATTTACTGAAGTTTATACTCCTCAAAAAAAATTATCTATTGATGAATCGTTAATGAAAAATAAAGGGAGATTAGGATTGAAACAATACATCCCCTTAAAGCGCTTTAGGTATGGCGTAAAATTATACAAACTGTGCGAAAGTGAAAGTGGCTATACATTTGCCTTTCGTGTATATGAGGGGAAAGATGGTCAGATGGACCCTCCTGGCTGTCCTGACTCTCTGGGGACAAGCGGGAAACTTGTTTGGGACCTACTGATCCCGTTGTTCAATAAAGGTTACCACCTTTATGTGGACAATTTTTATAGCATTGTCCGTTTGTTTCAAACTCTTTAGGGTTTCTAGATACTGGCCTGTGGCACTGTGAGAAGAAATGCCAAGGATTTCCCCAGACCTTTTATAGAGGCCAAAT